TTTAACATAAAGCTCTGACTTTGATTATTTGAGAATTCTGCTTCGGTTAAAATCCATACAAAAGGATAAGAAGAGAAAAAGTATAAGAAAATGGACCCCTTTTCAGCTTAAATTCACAAGTGGCACATTCGCAATGGGCTGGAACAGAGACAGCGGGGCGCTTCAGAAACTCGAGTTTTAGACTGAGGTCATGGCTTCCACCAGTGCCCAGAAGCTTGATCTGGACCCGCTGGGCTGACCCAGTGAGGCATTCCTCACGTTCGTGGGGGTCTCCATTTGTCTTTATCAATGAAGCCTTAGAGCACTGACACTTGATAAAATTCTTGACCCCTCATTCTCTGTGGTCCAATCTGTTCCAGGTAGTGTGACATCATGTCTGAAGCTGGGTCTACAGCCTGAGCCCCAGTGGGGCTGTGCTAAGCGAATGTGCAAAACACGTGAGCAGAGGCTCTCACCATTTTAAGAAGCACTTCTTTGCCCAGGCTGAGTGAAGACTGCCCAGGAATAGGCGTGCATAAAATGTTTGTTTCCTTCATAACTAAGTTAGGATTGTAAATGAGCTATGGCTTTTCATACTTTGCTTCTCTTATGTGGTAAAGCTGGGATGTCATTTGTAGTTAGGTTGATTAAATATTCTTCTGGTTTTAGTGCTGCTAGTCTCATGTTTTAAAAATAAAGAGATCTGTACATTCCAAAAAACCCATAATATTGAACATATTCCTATTAGCAACTTCTTATAAAAAGAAAAAAATTAGCCTGATTTAAATGTGCTATTGATTTTTACCAAACCTTTAAGCTTTAGTGTATGCAACAGGATCACAATTCCTTTCCCCAGTTACTAAGACGCAGATTGTTTCAAATTTCTGAAAAGGAATTCCAAAATTTCATGCTGTAGGATTTCTCATGAGTTAGTGTTCGCAGCGTTTCTCTGCAGAGGAGCCAGGATAACGCCGACGTTCCTCTCTTCGCTCTCAGAGTTATACAAATTGTGCTTTTCTATGTATTCCCGGACGAGGTCGGGTACCAGGTAGCGAATGCTCTGTCCCCTTCGGAGGGCTCGCCGGATTTTCGTGGATGAGATGTCGTTGGTGATCCATTCGTTCACCAGGTGAATGTTGTTCTGGTGTTTCCACAGCACGTCGGACTCATAGATGAATTTCTGAGCATCGTTTCCAGCCCGCGCAACACAGATGAGCCCGTAGTCGCCCACGATTTTGGTGATGTCCTCACTCTTCCACAGGTTGGGAACACCGAAGGACTCCAGTATATCTGCCCCACACAGCAATTTTATCTTTGGCCCATCTGGGAAGAGAAAGAAAACATCGCTTCAAGGGTTGCTTTTCTAATAACTCTCTGCTCCAAAATGAATGTGTGTATGTGCTTTTCTGGAAAGAAGGTTCCTAGTTTGTATCAGATTTGGATTCTCAGAAGAGATGTAGGACACCTCAAAAGTTAAGGACTCCTGCAGGAGAAATAAGCTCAGGATGCCTTTTACTCCCCCTCCCTCCCATCATAAAACTTACAAGAGGCATTTTCCAGGCACCCACACATACTGAATAGAAAATAAAAATACAAATGGGGCTTGCTCAGCAGCTCTAGAATCTTATCCCCTCTAATCTGTAAGTCTAGGTAAAACACACAGACCTTTTGTTTTGGGCTCTGGGCATTTCTTTTGATTAAATTCTTCACTCTGTTCAGCCCACTTCCTCTTCCGTCCAGGCCTTTCCAGCCCAGGTGAGTCCTGCTGGTGATCACAGATATGAGCCTTCAGTTTCTGTTGATGGTGTCTATAAAACGACAAAGCAATAGAACATTCCTCTTTCTCACAATGCTCAACTAAAATGTTGTCCCTGTGGAGATGCCCCAAAGCCTCTGATCCAATGTTAAAGGTGGGGTGATATTAAAAACATTTAAACACAGGTACACATGCTATCCAACCCGTAGAAGGGATGCTGACCAGTAACTGTCGTCCTGGGTCCTGGCTATCAGGAATGGAAAGCAAGGAGAATCATGGGAGCACAACAAATGGTAGCTGTCAACTATTCTATGCTTTACGTGTCTGTGTCATAATAAGAGTTAACGTTATTTATGTACCAAGAACTATACTAAACCTTTTGCATGGATTATATGATTGAATGTTCTCCATATCCCGTGTCATAAATATTATTACTCATGAAGTGGAAAGAGAGTGAAGGCTCAAAGTTCCAACTCCAGCTTCTAGCAGAGTCCCTGCGACAAACATAGGAGGCATTCAATAACAACTTGAGTAAATATTTTGGGTACTGTAAAGCAACGGTATTATTGCCACCATCACATCAGCATTGTTTATTATCCTCACAGAGAGAGGACACTGACCTTTTGCCCAAGGTCGTTTAGCGTATGAGAAGCAACCAGAATTTGAACCTCAACAGTCTGGTTCCAGAGCCCACACACCTGACCACTGAAGAGTGTGGCCTGACCTAGTTAGTAATGGCGAACCACAGTGCCAAGGATAAGGTCCTAGAGTGGGGCAAGTGCCTGAGGCCTAAAGGAAGGGACCATGGGAAGGACCTGCATATAGCTTTATTCTAGGCTGGCAGCAGGATGTCCACTGCTTAACTGTGCAAAGTTATTTGCGTAACATGAGCTTCCCTTGTGGGAGCCAACTATGGGTCCTTTGTGGCCCTAAATCCCTTCCTTCTTGAATAGCTGAGCTGCAAATATAATGGACAGTCAGGCTACTAAGAAGCCAGAGAGGGCTGGGTAAGGCAGGGATGTAGGAGCCCGGTGGCTGATGGGAGACTCTCCCTGCCAAGCCTGAAAAGTAAGTCCTGCTGATAAAGTAAGTCGCTGTGCCAGATGTGGTTTGCTGGCTCATTGTCCAATTCCACCCTAAACGCATTTCCCAGAGGTCCTTGCAGCCGGTTCTGGATGTGATTGAGATTCTGCTGATGAGATTCACTCGTGAGAGATTTGGAAGGAAGGAACGGGCACAGGCCATCTTTCTGCAGCTGTGAAGCCTGACAAGTAATTTCACAGCGTGAGTGTGTTGGCCAGACTCTATATTCCATTGTCCAGGCACCTACTTCAGGAGAATGGGACAGTTTAACAGCAGCCATGGTGGGGGCAGAGGCAGGAACAGTTCCCTGAACTCCAACTGCAGCTAAGGAGGTATGACCTTGAATAAGGCCCAACTCCTGCTCCTCCAGCCCTTTTAACACTTTTGCATAAGCACCTAAGTCCCTTTCTGCTTAAAATGCTCAGAGTTGTTTCTATTTCCTAGTTAAACCCTAATTAATACGGTGAGAACTGGAAGGTTCAGAACTCTAAGAGTCATTAGACAGAAATGTTTTCCAGAAAGCCCTGTTATTTTACACTCAAGATAATATTAAGTCATAACTAGATGCTACTCACTCTGGTTTCTGAACCCTGGAAGTGTCTCGACGGTATGAGCACCCCAACATGAGACCCCAATATGCTGTCATAGAAGCAGCACACAAACAGGACTGTCCACGATCAAGCATCACAGCTTTTCTTCTTTACGTTACCTGCCTCTTTCATACCTAAGAAGACTGACGGCAATGACAGCATCTTACAACTTCACCTTTCTCACCTGGGGCACAGACAGGCCAGGCAGGCTCTCTACGTACACTTTCTACCCGAGATAGACACGGTAACAGGCATGCACACATTTCAAAATACAATGAAAGACATTCAGGCCAAGGAACCCCGTGCCCTGCTCTGCTCCGCAACCTTGTAACGATTCTGCACAGGAATGGCACAGCCTAAGCCTTTCCGAGCCTCCTGACAGTTCTGTAAGTCTGTGTGTTCACAAACACAGGCAGCACTGAAACATGGCCAAAAGCCAAGAAGCCCCTGACCCATGTCCAGAGAACTGACAGAGCGGATTTCATTGTAAATACCTTAGCACCTTAGCAGTCTCTACCCAGTCCTTCTGAAGACTTTCCCATGTGTCGACTTCCACCCATTCTGAATTCTTGGTGGCAAGTTCTGCCATGATAACTCGGTGATGGGCAGAGATGAGTCCTTTCTTCTTGTACGCATCACCGACGGGAGAAATTATGCCTTTGATAACTCTATATTTCCCTGGATAAAGAGTTAGATTTGACATGAGACATAACAGATTAAATCTTATGCACAGGAAATATCGTCAATGTGATTTTATAATCAAAGATCCCCCTTCTAAACAGCGATTCAGGTTCATTCATTCATTCATTCATAACTGTGGTAAAACAGACAAACATTTACCATTCTAAGTGTACAGTTCTGTGGCACTAAGGACAGTCACAGTTGTGCAACCACCAGTATGCATCTCCAGAACTTCTTCACCTTCTCTAACTGAAACCGTCCCTATTAAATACAAACTCACCATTCCTCAATCTAAATCAACAGTTTAAATCGATTGATGTTGTCGCACTGCCTTGAAAAAGCCTTAATTTGTGTTGTCCACCTACTGTAAATAAGAGCTCATCTCTCCCAAAACCCTGGCACTTGACATGATTACACTTAAAAATTTCTGTCCATGTGATGGGCAAAATATATCTAATTAAAAATTTTACTTCCCTGATTATTAGGATTATTAGTGAGTTTGAGCACCTATCTATCAGCATATAGCATGATCCTTTATATAATAAGACAAAATAAATCCTGGGAATGTAGAGAAGGAAGAGTTTTCCTCAACCCTCTTAGGGACCCTGGCTGGGTCTGAAAATTAAATCAAGAGAGTCTGACAGGAGAAAAGCATGCACATTTGTTTAATGTAAGGTGTGCATGACATGGGAGCCTGCATAAGGAAATGAAGACCCCGAGAAGGTTAAGCCTGAGTGTTTTAATGCCAGGATTGATGACGAGTGGACAGCGGTGGGGAAATATGACAGCGCAAAGAGCGTGAGGTAAGTGTACGTAAATTCAGGGAAACTTAGTAAGACCCGTTAGTCGGGATTCTTCATGGCATCCCTTTGTCTTTGGAGATCAAGATGTGCCTTTCCTCCAGGTACAGGGAGGGCACTTCTCAATGGGAGGTTACTTCTCAATGGGAGGTATCTGACCTGCTTCGGGTCAGAAGGGTGACAGGAGGTCACAGTGACCTTCCTGATTCTGCCATCTTCTTAACTCCTTCAGCTTAAAATACCCGGTAGGCCAAAGTGCCATATTTGGAGACAGTGTGTTCTGAACCCTGTCACTGCTTTTGGTCACTGTTCCCACCTGTTCCGTTCATGTAGTCCTTGGCCAGCTCGAACAACCTGAGGTGCATGTTGGTGATAGGATTAAAGGAGCCACACGCAAGGAGAACCACGTCTGTCTTCTCTGAACTTTCCATGCTAAGAATTTGAAGTTGCTGTTCTAAGCGGAAAACTGACACCTCCCTTGTTGTCTATAAAGGAAAAAGAAAATGAGTCAGTTATAGGTCTTTTGATGTCCTTCTGTGTTCTCATTCCAAATAGATAAATAAAAATATTTGGCTTCAATGACTATGTTAGAATTGCAAAGTGGTCCTATTTCTCCATCCCTCCTTTTCAATGTGAATTTGCAGCTCCTACAATAAAGATGGGGCTCTGCTTCCTACTCTTGGTGACTTGCTTTGAAAGAATGAAATGTGGCAGATGTGACTGCCAATTGTGAACCTAGGCCTTCCTTCTGGACTTCTGCCCCTGCCATGAAAACAAGCCCGGGCCAGCCTGCTAGAGGGTGGCAGAACACCTGGGAGGGAGCTGGTGCTGCTGCTGCTGGTGGACAGCCAACCACTGGCTACGTGGCTGAGGCCACCTGAGACCAGCCAAACCACGACTTACTCAGACACAAGAACAGGCCCACGGGAGGTTGGCTGAGCCTGGTGGCTCAGATAAGCAAACCCAGCAGCTGACCCTGGATTCACGAGCAAAAACAAATGTTTACTGCTGTATGCTGCTCAGTTTTGTGATTGCATTATTGTGGCTAAATAGTTAACTGATACAATGTTATCATCTATCAAATGTCACTCCCCAACAACCTGCCTTCAAAACAGTATTCTGCCTCTAAGTCAACATGATCATATTATCACTTTCCACCAAATAGTTTATAATTTACAAACCTTTTTATATAAATTATTCCATTTGACCTTTCCATAAACCCAAGGGAGTAAGATATCTGATCTAAAACTTTTATTAAAAATCTTTATTAAATTCATATATATAGATTTAGAAATCACGGGGTGACAAAAGGCCCATAATGAAAACCAAGTCATCAGCCACATCCTGCTCACCAACCCCTCCATCTGGCTCCCTAAAAGCAGCCACTTTTAACTTTTTCAGCTATTTCTTTTGGCAGAGTCTACATATAATGTGTTTTTAATGCTATTTCTTAACTTGTCCAATATAAATAGTGCCTATTTACTTTGTTATGATCTATGAGGATTAGCTCTCATATACCCTCACTGTCCTCCTCCAAACATATATATATGTTTATACATAGAGAGAGACAGACAGACAGACAGACAGACAGAGAGATTAGCTCTCATATACCCTCACTATCCTCCTCCAAACATATATATATATGTTTATATATATAGAGAGAGAGAGACAGACAGACAAACAGACAGAGTGTTAATCTCTAGTCTATGTTGAAAATCAAAATCATCTTCTCCCAGAATTCTGAAGGCATTGCTTCTACACTGCCGTGCTAACAGTGAGAAATCCAAAGTCACTTTGAACTCTGGATCCTTTGAATGTGACTTATTTCGTTTCTCCCTTGAAGCTTTTAAGATCCCTTTGTCCCCAGTGTTCTGAAATTTTACAGTGATGTCCTTTAGTGTGGCTCTATTTTCATCCATTGCGCTGACCCACTGAGCAGACCCTTTCAACGTCGAAAGTCATAACCTTCGGTTCCGAAAAATGTCCATTAATAATTTCACTCATGATTTTCTTCCATTTTTTTCTGTTCTCTTTGGAAACACCTATTATTAGAGCTGAGGCACCTGGACTGGTCTAATTTTCTTATCGTCTCTCCTGTTTTATACCTCATGCTCTAATTTCTAGATATCCTCAACTTCATCCTCCAGTCCATCTATTGAGCTTTTCATTTCTGCTATTACACCCTTAATTTCTAAAGCCTTCGACCTCTAAGTATTTCTTTTTTATGGTTTTCTGTTCTTGCTTCTCCAAGGCATCATCCTCTCTTCTCTCTCTACCAATGCTGATGTATTTTAAATTTCCTTCAGAAGGAGCTGATAGGCAGCTCTGAGTGGGTAGGCAGGGCTTTGCACAGTGGGCTTCTGTGCACCGTCACCTGGCTGTCAGCATCACAGGTCCTTGCCTTGGAGTGGTCGGATTTCACAGAGAGTATCATCCAGTCTCCTGCCTGTACAGCATGACAGTTAAGAAGCTGTGCTCTAAACCAGACTGCCTGGGTTCAAATCCCAGCTCTTATACTTAAAATGTGCTGGATGACCCTGAGCAACCTGACCCTAACCCAATCTTGCTTTTGTCCCAGTTCTTGTCTTAAAACAGAGAGAATAAGAGAGCTTACCTAATGACTGCTGTGAGGATTAAAGGAGACAATACATGTACATAAAGCTGCTTTTGGCAAGTAGTAAACGTACCGGGAATATAGCTATTATTAATGCTGCATATCATGTTGCTATACCAATTCTTTTTGATCTATAAAAACACCAATTTCAAACGGTTCAACTAAATACTATTAACTCTTATTAAATGTTTTTTTTTTTTTCTTTTTTTCCTGGAGGCTTTTTCTCCTGGAACTCTAATCTGGACTGAAAATCTCTAATCCTTTGTGCAGCTGTCATTCTGAAATCTTTCCAATCTCTCTCCTTAGATCCCCTATTACTTAGGACCATGTCATTGATTTTCATGCTTTAGTTGCTAATTTTCCTGGAGCGTGTCCTCAAGTAGCATCATAATAAAGAATACATGGAAGATAAAATGCTTATGTCTTTATTCTTCCTTCAATGATGAATAGCTTAATTGAGGATTCAAAACTGAAATTATTTTCTTTTAAAATCATAAACGCATTTCTTCATTGTTTTCTAATATCCAACACTGTTGTTAAAAGTCTGACGCCGTTGAGGTTCTTGCTCCTTTTTATGCAACCTGCTTTTGCTTTATAAGAGTTCTAGCATGTTCTCTTTATCCCTAGTGCTCTGCAATGGCACACTAATGTGTTTTAATTGGGATCTTCTTCCTCCATTGTGCTGGGTACTCAGTGCACCTTTTCCATCTCAAACTCAAATCACTCAGTTCTGAATTATTTAATAAATACGAAGATACCCAAAGGTCCTTGAAGACAAACAGCAAAACCATGACCTAGTTATCACTCAGGTTCTTGGTGGTCACACTCATAGATGGCCACCAACCTCACGATACCAACAGAATCAAACCTGTATCATCAAAACTATTCAGATAGGAGTATCAAACCAATAATCGGATCAATATACACTTGGGAGCAACTGCTCATTGACTTTAGAGTAACCTTGCCAAATTTCACGAAGAGGAAGAATTAGAATCAACATGAAATCCCAAGATTCTTCATGAATTATATGAAAAATAATGTCTCTACCATTTGAACAAGGCTCAATGTTTGTATTCTGTAACAAATCATGGACCCATTGTTACCCTAGATATTTTGGGACAAAATCAAATATCAAGGACCTTTCAGCATGGACCCAAAGTCCCCGTGGACATTCTGGACGGGACCAAATGTCCTGCAAGGGGCAAAACGAGACAGGAAGGCCAATTACAAAGTCCTGCGTGTCTCAGTTTAAGTACAGTCAGTGGGAATGGAAATAAGAAACAGTTATTCAGTAAATATTTGAGGCCTTCTCCAAACAAAGCACAGTGGTAGGGATCACGGGGACACTGTAACTGTTGATAGGGAATAAAGCAGAGAAGGTCAGTGATGCTCCGCATGGCATTAAAAATTGAGTTCATTGGTAAGAATGATTTAAATGTCCTACTTTTCAATTATCACCCCAAGGACGATACCGGGTTCTCTTGGGGCTCATTCCCAGACTTCTCATCCCCACCCCTGCATTTCCCAAAGTACCTATGGTATTATGGCGTGGGGATGAATGCAACATCCCACAGTACCCTAGGCACACAGGAAACTCAGGGTATCCTGCCAGCTACTGAACATGGTCTCACGGACCATGATGGAGGCGTTGGGTTCAGCTGGAGCTCAGTCAGTTCCAGCCCCACCCACCTCAGGTTTCAGGTACCATTCCCCAAGGGTGATAGAGCTGGGAAGAACACTAGGGCTGACAGCAGGGGCTACTGGTTCCCAAGGGAGCTGCCTGCGGTACAGGGAAGGATGATGGAACAGAAGAGCTTGGAGCCCGTCCCGGACCTTGGGGATGGGCTCAGGTTTCCAGGTCCTCCCCAGGGGAAGGGGCTGGGGGAAGCTGATCTCTCAGCTTAAAGACAGCTTTCTCCCTTGTCACATTCAAGACCTGTCTCAAATATCTAGCTCAGATCTATTAATTCACTGTGAACATAATCAACCTGAGCTCAAACTCAAACTGGACTTTTGACCTGCAAAGCCACAGAAGAATTAAGTTACAGTGAGCTCCTATCATAGCCCAGAGTGGCTTTAAAAACAAACAAACAAACAAAAAAAAACAAGGATTTGTTCCTCTCCATGGGAAGTGGGACACAGCAGGTGACAAATGCAGAAGTGGTTTAGAAGCTCTAACAGGACCTTCCGGATCCTCCTGGCCTTGCTCCGGGCACTCGGGCACTCGAGAACCAGTTACCATGATTCATTTCTGTCTGGCCCACACAGCCTACCACCTGCACTGCTGGCTGCCGAGATCTCATCAGTTCAGGCTGTAAGTGTCCCTCCCCAGTCCACTGTGACAAAAAGTTCATTTCTTTCTGAAGCGGTCTTGAAGTTTAACCAAAATTTACTTTCAATTTTAAAATCACTGACCTTCTTAGGTTTTAAAAACATTAATGTGTAAACATTAATGAAACATTTCGTGAATATTAAGCCAGTTTTTAAAACACCAACTTTTTCAAAAGAATTACTATTGTTTGATTTTTCTCATCACATTTAAGGATGCTATCTATCCTGGCTGACTTAAATAATGTGACTGACTTAACAACTTCTGGAACTTATACCTTTAAAATGACGCTATTCCTTTCAAAACAATAACTTTAAGCATGTAACTATATTCTAGTTCTAAAAATGTGCCATTGCTTTAAATAGTCTGGAGGTATACTTTGAAATTCCCTATTTCTTTGAGTACCTTCGCTAAGAATTGTTTTTGGAAGGTAAATCTGATTTCTACGAATACCCTAAAGTCATTCAGTGCTAAATGCAATTAATAAATTATCAAGGTGACTAAGAGAATTTATAGTGAAGAAAGAGATAGAGCTATTGGTTAATAAGGAAGATTTTCTTATAGGCATGGAAGCTATATACATGTAATCTCAAAAGAATTTCAAAAATGTTTTGAGCAGTAACAGCAGACTTCACTTGGTTGTCTAAGCTGTGGTAGGTCGTTTATGAGTTATACTCAGTGTGAACCACGTGGCTAGGGGCAGAGCTGTCACAGCACAGGGGGATGGTTAGGACTCTCGGACCTGGTTCAAATTCCAGCTCTACCACTTACTACTAGGTTTGTCCTTGGGCAAGACACAATCTGAATCTTGGTTTCCTCACTTATAAAATGGGGAACCACAGTCCCTACCACATAGGATTTATGCATTTTAATTGAGAAAAATGCATATAAAATGTTTGACACACTTGTCTAATTATAAATATTAATAACTCATACGATTATTTGTGGATTGCCCTATTGCATTAATTTACAGTCATAATAATGGAACCAAGGTTCTAGATTCCTTACAGACCAGTACCAACAGTGCCTACTACACAGTAGGATCTCAATAAATGGCAGCTATTATTAACATTTTTCCTGATGTATTCTTAGACATAATTTTGTCCTAACGGAATGGATCGTAATTCATCTTTGCTATGTTTAAAACTTTATCTCTGAAAAAAAACACAAAAACACTTTATCTGTGGTTTAATGTAACATTATCCTGAAAGAGAACCTGAATTTGGTTTCATAAAGCCATTTTATCACTAAACAGTAATATATAATGTAACTGTGTCCCGTGCAGCCAAGTGACAGTGTTCTTGTTTGGGATCACCACTCTGGTTCTCCAGTTTTACGTTCTGCTAAGGTAAGTTCTTTCGCCAGCCAACCCCTCACCCAGCAGCTCGGCATGCCTGTGTCTTCCTGCGATTCCCACCACGTGTTTAACTGCAGCCTGCCCCATTGTGTGTGCCCCTATTATTGATGGCAGTCACCTGCTTCACTTCTCTGAAGTCAAAAATCTCAATACGGTGAGAATGGCTGGATTTGGGCAGACTGAGTTTAACTTTTAATCAACATTTATTTCTTCTAGTATAAGAATCCATTAAGTGGGAGACAATGAGGGCACCAATGTTTCAATTTATGTATCCCCTAGAGACCAGTCCCAACCGCCTTGCAGTAACTAAGGTCTGCAGAGCAGAGGGCAACAGGCACACTTGACCAGATTGTGACTTGATATGTTATTGCATAGTCTATGTTGGAAATTAGTCTTGGCAGAAAAAAGTCAGTCAGTTAATGACTTTCTCAAAGGACAAATGAAGCAAATGCAACCTGATACATTCAAAATAAAAAAAAACTGCAGTTCTAAGAACAATGATATTCTAAAAAAGAAAAACCCTGAAAACTAGGGAGCAGGAAGGGAAACTGCGACTCTCATTCCAGCCTCATTCGAACTTGCCAGCTTCTATTACAACAGGTCCGTGTGCAGTAAAGCCTACTTCCTTACTCCAGAGGCGAGAACTTCCACAAAACACTTTTCACCAAAACATCAAATTAACATGAATCGGAAAAATGGTGAACTTCATTTGTCCACTAATTATGAATATTAGTAACTCTTAATATTACTTGTGGGCTGTTTTACAGCAGTAATTTGCAGTCATGGTAAAGGATCCAAGGTTTTTAAGAGAAATGAGTTGCCTGGAGCCAAATGAACCTAGTGCCAGAATTAGGATTAAAATTCAAGAGTCGCAGTGCCTTCTGGTATTACGGTTACAGTGTGGATTTCTTCTAATAAGTAACAAATTAATGTATGACCCAGTGTATTGATTTTTAGGCCCAGATCTTCTCGATACTGCAGTCGACCTCTCCTTACCAACCTGGTTGGTAGTATCATCTTTACTTTCTTCACAATTGGTAAGTGTGCAGTCTCTCTGTCAGGCGCTTATTAAGCGTCTACTATTTGCTAGAGCAAAAATGGGTAAGATAGGACTTCCTGTTTTTAGGAACTCACAGACTGAAACTGAAGAAAAAAGTCACACTTAAAATTCGGGTGGGAAATTTTTAAAACTTCCTTCGTTACTCTTAGTTCTACAATTTGAATATGAAACCAAATTAAGTTAAATATAAATATTTTAGGTTGGTGTCATAAAATATTTTACAGTCATAATCTAAAAATAGCAGATTTAATCACCCATTCAATAAAGTTACTGAGCAGGACATGATGTGGGTAGAAAAACGGGGACCTGACAACTTGAAGTCAGAAAGTGATAAAGAAGAGGCAGACTCTGAAATGTGGAGACTGTTAAAAGGTTAAAAACTAGTTATTGACTGCATTAGGCACTGTTCTAGAGTGTCCCACTGAATCCCAGCTCCACGAGAGGCAGCGTGTGCAGTGGTGAAGAGCACAGGCTTCAAGGTCAGAGGGTGGCCAGTCACTCCCTGCACACGACAGGAGCTACCCAGCCTCTCCGAGCTTCCCCTTCCTCATTTAGAAAATGCCCCACAGTTTTGCTTTTTACTACAAGGTTTAAATGAGATAATGAGTGAGTTATTCCAAAAATCACCACTTATGACCACCAGCATAGCCAATAATAAGAACACGACCTAGTGAAGGAAAACCTTAACCTAGCCACATTTTGAGCATTTCTGTCCCTCAGCAGGGAAGCGACAAAACGCGTTCTCTGTAGGTTTGCATTCAAGAACGTACTTCTGAGATGACTGCACCTGGACGATGCTGTTCTGCTGTCCTTTCAGGCTTTACTGTGCTGCTGACTCGGATGGAACCGGTGCCACAAGCACTAAAGAGGATGTTTTCCATATTCGGCATGGGATCCTTGGGTGAAGGAGTCTGCACCGTGGTGCTAACGGTTTTGGCAGCTGACTGTGTGCGTTTTTAAATAACGAATTCTAAACGCTCATCTTAATCTGAAAGCTCGGCTTTATACAACACACCATCGGTCTTCGATATTTATTTTCCACTTACACTAAAAATAGAGATATGCAGAGACAGAATTCCTAGGCAGACACATGTCACAGTTAAAATATTTCACCAGGGAAAATTTAAAAAATTCCATGAGATTTTTCTTTTTGTGGGTAGATTCCACCTGACTAAAAAAAAATTTTTTTTTTTTAAAAGACGGTATTAATCAACAGTGGAACTGCTGGACTGGGTCTGGCACGTTAAGCAGCAAGCCTTCCATCTCTTGCTAAGTTGGTGCCTTTGTTTAAATCTTTGCAGCAAAAGCATTTTAAATATGAGTTCCAATGAAAAGACAAGTATTTTTCACAGGGCTTTTTTCTTTCCAAATAAAGGAAAAGACGACTCCTGAACTTTACTACTCGTCTGTGCTGCTGTCAGTGAGCAGCTTGGTTTCTACAGGTAAGCAGAAAACTTCCCAAGTAACCTATCTTTGTCAAAGGCTTAATTACCAGGCTTTCAAAGGAAGTACCTGCTCAGCTAGGACTGAGATATCACAAGGGGAAGCCCTGGTTCCTCTTAAAACAAGAACTCAGATGCTAAGGAGTAATAAAGCAAGAAGAGGGTTAGAATGGTATAGAAAAAGCCATCCTTCTCATGTTATGTCCACTCCATCTAATTAGATCCCATTCTTCATCCTACAGTGCTGTTCTCAGGCCGGGGGTTGATTTGGCTGGCTGGTGTGACCTGTCCCAGACCAGATGCTAAGCCAACAGTCTGAAGCTGGCACGTGAGCCCTGCTGGTCTGCTGCCTCAGGTATACTCTTCAGCAGGTTGAGCCTGTCCCGGCAGCACGGCCAACTGACTGCTGCCAGCAAGTACATGACCATCTCCGACCTTGCTACTCCTAGATGAAATGGTCAGCTGAACATGAGAGCAATGACGACAGGAGGCACACCAAAACCAGTCACATGAAAGAATGCTGAGTTAAGTATTAATGAGCACTGACACTGAAAATAAAATAGTTCAGCCAAAATCACAGGATTGACATTGCAACCAAATTTAACCCAAAGAAGGATGTCCTAGTAAATATTTTCACGACCAGAAATACATAAATATACACATACATACATACTTTCAAGATCATTACTTTGACTTTCTGAAACTCCTTTTTCCTTTCAATGAAGTTAGTAGTATCAGCTGCATGGTTGCTATAGAAATAAGTAAGGAAGAAGGAAAACATAAATCTCAGTAATGAACAAAGGATTAATTTCAAAAGAACAGTGATTCAGACTGTATATTTCAACAAAGTCAATTCATTGCTTCTTTAAAAATGCAGTGAGAAATTTTAGAGCAAAAATAATCATAATCTCCTCTGTAGGTTAGAACAATCTTCTGCATCATGACAGCTAATTTTTTGTTATCTAGAAAATAGCCAATGACCCACATATTTTGTCTTCTTTTTCTGTGTATTCACAGATTCTCCAGTATTTCAAGCAGGACCTAGTTACGGATGCTCTCAGCATCTTTAGGGGTGGAGACAGCTCCACTTCTTGAGGAAAAGAACTGTGTCCACTGGCAGGAGGACCAGATTCAGTATAAACACCTCCCAACACATCTCTGAGGGGCACAGCCCTCCGTGGTGGAAATGACTGTGGCCGTCTGCTGCTCTGCTCAGATGGCACCTGCCGGAGGGGAACTTACTTAACCAACACACTAACCACCCACCACGCCAGCATTTTCTAGCACCTTCTACATCCTAGACATGGTGCTAAAAGTTAGGGATCAGAAACCTGAGTAACTCATACATTAACAATGAAATGCCCTGAAATAGTCCTATTACTAAAATTAACAGAAACTATTTTAAAATAACAGCATTTTTTACATTTCCTAGACCTCATTAACCAAGTAGTAACACATCAGATAAATGACCACTTATCCTAAAATAGTATTTTTGTCAAAAGTTACTTTTTTTTTCTGTACTATCTCACTCCCCACCCACCCAAACCTGATCTACTCCAAGATCTCGGCTGACGACAACTGGATCCTGCCGGTCACTAAGGCCAAGCACTTCAAGTCACCCTTTCTGCCTTTCTTTCTTTTCCACACCCCATCAGGAAATCCTAATGGCTTCACCTTCAAAATATAACCAGAATCCAACCATTTTTCACTGTTTGGGAATCTTTAACTAATTGTTTCTAAATGCAAAAGGCTGCTTCTTCAGGCCAAGGCTGCTGGGTATTTCTGTATCTTGAAATGATGCAAGATTCTTAACATATCTTCAGAGAATGGAATGCTTCTTAACTGACAAGCATAACTTGAAGTGTAATTTGAACCAGAATTTTAATCCCTAACCTATAAAACTGATTTTTCATTTATTTTTATGGTTTTATCATTTCCTCCAAAACTAAATCCGGTTTCGCCAGTTTTCATTAAGAAACATTTATTTCATGCACTGATATCTTATGATATGTAAATTATACAATTCTGACAGTGTCTTGTGTGAAAATTATAAAGTTATAAAACTGCTATTTTTTAGCTCTCTCATAATTTAGTCGCAATCAGCAATACTCCCTCAGAACAAAATTCTCTGCTATGACCTATAGTCGCTCAAAGGGGAAGAAACTTTTGATGAACAACTATTTTGTGGGAGATGCTTTGTTTTAGGGGTTCTTAATCTGGGGCCTGGGCTTCAGAATTATAGCATCTCTGAAGTTATAAGCAAAACGTTCAATATGTACCTATGAGCAGCCTTCTGGTAGAATGTCAAGGGAAATTTGAGAAGCTAAACACATCAAGCATTAAACTCATTAAATTTACTATAAGAAAAAAATAGTTGATGGTTGACATCTGCTTTCTTTTAAAATTAAAAAAGTCCTGAAATTTAAAATTAGTCTTTATAGCAGTTGTTAAATCCTAAAAGTGAAAACTTCTAATTACTAATTAAATTTAATTGAATATTGAATTTCTAAATGCTCATCTTCATCTAAAAGCTTGGTTGTATCAATATGTCATTACTCTTCAATGTATATTTTCTACTTACATTAAAAATAAGGATATGTACCAATGGAATTCCTAATTAGACATGTGTCATAGTTAAAACATTTCATTGGGGAAAGGTAAAAATATTCCACAAAGACTTTTTCTACTTTATTAGGATTTTTAAAAAGTTAACATGTAATGACTGGAAGAGTTTTTAGGGTCTCCTCACCCTCAGATGTAATATAGGGAGTTTGGACTTTATCCTATAGGGAATGGGATGTATCAGAGGGTTTAAACAGGGAGTAATGAACTAGTGCACTTTAGAAATAATTCTCATTCATTCATCATAGTTCAGCAAACATTTTTTGACCAATTACTATGCTGTAGATGCTGGGAATAAAGCAGTAAACAAAATAATGGGGCTATGAGAAAAACAAAGCAGGGGAAGAGCACAAGGAGTGTTGGAATTCTAGATAAGGTGGTCAGGAAAGGCCTGAGTAACATCTGAGCAGAGAATTAAAGGAAGCAAGGGAGTGAGCTGTGCAGCTATCTGAGGGAAAGATGTTCTAAACAGAGGTAACAATGCACAAACTCTGAGACAGAAGCATGCCCATCATGTTCCAGGAGCAGAGACCAGAATGGCTGAGGCAGAGTTAACAGGGAAGAAGCAGTAGCAAATGTAGGCAGAGAGGTAAGAGGGAGCCACTGCAGAGTTTCGAGCAGAGGAGTGACACGGTCTGACAACTGCTTAAAGGATTTCTCTGGCTGTTGAAGTTGAGAACAGAATGTAGGGGGAAATAAGGGTGGAAACAAGGAGACCAGACAGGAAGCTACTCCAATAATCCAGGTGAGAGCTGATGCTGACTTGGACCAGGGCGGTAGCAACAGAAGTGGTGAGAAATCATTAGATTCTAGATATACAATAAAGGTGGAGCCAATGTGATTTGCTGTGACATGGGCTGTGAGAGAAAGAGACGTCAAGGATGATTCAAATTTTTTGCCTGAACAACCAAAAGAATAGAGTTACCTTTACTTGAGAAGAAAAAGATGGCCATGGAGTAGGTTTGGGAAGAAGATCAGTAGTTCTGTTTATAAGATATGTGATCTAGGGTGTCTAGTAGCTATCCAAATGGTGGTGTTAAGCGGACAAATGGAGAACAGAACTAACTTCAGTGAAGTGCTTGACTAGAGATTTGGGGTCATCTGATACAGATGAAATTTAAAGCCTTGAGATTGGATGAAATTACCAAGAGATGGAGTGAAGATAAAAGGGATCAGCAGCATGGGCATCACCCAGAAGCTGGTTAGAAATGCAGAATCAGGAAAGAAGATTGGTTGCTGATCCTGATGTGCAATTGTTATTGATGTATTGATCGCAGACTAAACAGGTGGCAGCGAACTTTGTACTTCATGCAGTTACACTGAATAAACTATGGAATATTTGCATATGTGCAAAAGCAATTCACGGGATGGCCTCTCTGTCAAACGTGAATAGGGCAATCAGACAGCCACAGGCAAAACATGCATGCAAGCTGCCGAGCAAGCAAGCAAGCCAAGAAAAACTTGAATAAGATCATGCTCTCGGGTAAAATGGAAAACCTGAACGCACCTTGAGAAGGAGGTGGTAGGGGGCAGAATGCTCAGAGAAAATTTGGGGATCTAGGGCCAGACAATGAGATTTTGAGACATGACATCAGAAGTGTGACCCAGAAGAAGAAACGGAGACATTGGAAGTTGTCAAAATGAAAAACCTAAGCTCTGTGAAACACCTTCCGAAGAGGGTGAAGCAACCAAGAAAAGAGGTGCCTTCAAACCACAGCAACACTATTGTCTTAATGGAAAAGAAAAAAAAAAAAGCAGAATCACAGGCTCTACCCTAGACCTACCCAATCAAAATCTGCATCTTAACAAGCTCCCCCAGGTGATCTATATGCATCTTAACCTTTACAAAGCACTGCTTTGGAGCATTCCATCCCTCAGATGAGAGATAACAGAGGGTAAAGACAGCAGCAATGGTGTCAGGATTTACAAGTGGGTCAGGTAATGAGGAGGGAAGGACAAGGAGAGGGGAGAATATTTCTGACAAGTGACTGGGTAGATGGTATACCACCAGTCAACAAAGACAGTATCGGGAAGCAGAGGTTAGGAGTTGTGGGGGGAAGGCATAAAGACACAGACTAGTGGTTTACAGGTGTTGAATTTGAGGTACTCATAGGACATCCAAGTAGAGAAGTCTAGTAGGCAAACAGAAACAGAGAGACTAGAACCTGACAGTAAAACCCAGAAACAATGAACACTATCTGCAGTGGGAGATCATGGTTAAGAGAAGGTTGTTTACTTTACTTGATTTGATTTTTTTTTTTTTTTGAAGAACAGAATTAGAATGTTGGTAGGTTGAGAAAAAGCACCATTAGGAAGCCACAGAAGCTGCAAGAAAGTGTATAACTGTTGAAGGAAGGTCCTTAAGGAGGCCACAAACAAAGGATTTTAGGTATAAATTAAGAGGATAGCTTAAAAATAATGGAGAGATATGAAAACATATGTCCACACAAAGAACTGAATGATTTGACTTTATATATAATAGCCAAAAACTGGAAACAACTCAAATGTTAATCAAGAGATGAATGAATGAATGAATGAGCTAAGTTCGTATAGCCATGTAATGCAATACTATCGAGTGATAAATAGGAACAAACCACTGATACAAATAACATGAATCAATCTCAGAGAGTGAAAGGAGCAAAATATAAAAAAGCACACACTATATAATTCCAACTGTATAAAATTCTAGAACAGATAATTCAATCTACGACAGAAAGCAGAGCAGTGGTTGCCTAGGACTGGGAAACCGAGGGCAGAAGGGCAGAAAACTTCAGGGTCCCTGCTTATGGAATCCTCATTTTATCTCACGCGCTTCTCCTAACTGAATGCCAATATAGTCACTCATTCTCTTTGGATGGGTCCGTTCCTTATAAATACATATATATCCAGTTATGCTTATTTAACTATAATGATGATGATGATGATACTGACATTCACTGAATCCTTCCTGTGTGCCAAGCAATATGCTAAACTCTCATGTAATCCTTACAACACTCCCATGAAGTAGGTACTATTATTATCCCTTTTTTGAACAGATAAGGAAACTGAGCTGAGAGGTTACCTTGCTCAAGATCTCACAGCTCATGTTAACAACCTTGACTCTAAAAGTTCACGTTCTTAACCATCACACAAGACTTAAAATGCTACAAGCTATCTACTGGCAGACATTTAAAAGGGGTCTACTTGTTCAGAGAGTCTTTCGTTCATGGTACGTCTTGTTAACCACTCTCCCAACAGAAATGCCTGAATAGAACACCGCGTTGTCATCAAAATTAGGGGAAGTACAAAGTGTGTAAATGTTTATTCAGCAAGTTCTTCAAATGGTGAAAGAAGTGTATTTCCAGTTTTATTCTGCTTGGCACTGACTATTTGTCACTGAGTTTCATATCACTCAAAAGGTTGACACTTCAACAGATTCACGAATCAGAAATTAGAGATAAACACATTAACATAACCGTCACTTACTTTTACAAAGGATAATCTGTAAATCTGAAACGTTCTGTAAGGTGGGCTATTAGAACCATTCCAATCTCTGTGTTAACAGTCTTTTCTACATTGGGCTAGAACAGTGCTTTCGCATGCAATTTTAACTCTGGAAAACCATTTATGGTAATAAGCAAGGAATTCTACGATCAGACAGAACTCACAGAAATAATCATTCTGGTAGAGTTCTCTGGTAGCCTTAATTGGAAGTTTGTTCTGGTCTGCCGAAAAAAGAATTCGTTTTAAAGACGACTCTTTCTTAAACAATTTTGCCATAAGCCCTGAGGTTGTCTTGTGGACCACCGACTCCTCAAGGAGATGAGCTAGGAACACCAGAAAATGGTTTCCACCCAATTGCTGAGTAACTTTTACGTGTGTCAAACCGCTTCCAGGCAGAGGGATCTAGTACTTTATAGCTTCGGGGAGAAGGATTTCGGAGGAAAAAGAATTCCTCTGCCTCCCTACCCCTCTGCCAAGCTCAAGAAGCCTCTTCTAGAAAAAAACGCACACACACACACACACACACACACACACACACACAATTTTTTTTCCAGGGTGAATGCACCTTTCCGAAGGCTAGAGGCAAATTTACCGAGGTCAGTGGTTAAACAGAGAGATCGAAAGAATAAGTGGCAAGACTCCTCGCCCCAAACTTGAATATGACCTTGCCTCGGGGACAGTTATATTTGACTAAGGCCCCACATCTTGGACGCCTCTAGGCCTGCGACAAAAAGGAGTGCTGGACTGACGCCCCTAGAGACCGATTTCTTAGGGATCCGGGGTAGTGAGCTTACCACGTCCTCGGGGCCAACGGGTCCAAGCCCTCCCGGAGACGACCCGGGGCCGGAAAGCCAGCGAGGGGGGACACCGCGAGGGGAGCACCCGCGGCCTCACTCTTATTGGCTCCCGGAGGCCGGAAATGGCGTTAAGTCCGGCGGAAGTGCTCCTCCTGCGCGCGTCCGCCAGCCCGAGACCGTGAGGTAGGCGGGGCCCCTGGCTCCGAACCCTGGGGACAGGTGGACAGGGGCGGAGAGGGAACCCCGAGGTCCTGAGGAGGTTGTCCGGGCTCGGGTCGGGGAGGACCGAAAAAGTGTCGGGGGCGGCGGGTTCACGGCGACCTCCGGTGACAACCGGGGCCTAGTCGAGCCCGGCCGCCGCGGGACCCAAGTGCGGGAGCTTCAAATTCTCCTGTGGAGGTGGAATTGGGGGCCGTGGCCGGAGCTGCTCCCTGACCGCGTCGGGACGGTCGGGGTCCGAACGCCGCTCGCTTCCAGCCGGGAGATGTGCTCTCCGCCCTGGCCTTTTCTGTGCCTCTGGATGTGACAGCTTCCGTCGAGGCGTGTCCCGGTGCGGGGTTTTCCTAAGTAACACCCTCGCTAAGGAAAATCACAGGAAGGCTGCCGGAGGGGCGGTCGAAAGAGAAAACGGGTCGCTGTCCCCACCCTCGACCCCCCCAACTCCCGGGCCCTTTGGTTTCTTTGTAGAAAGAGTGGGGTGTGTTTCAGTTACAGGCTGCTCGAGTGGAAGTTTGTCTGGACTGCTGTAAATCGAGATTGTACATAGTAAGTAAATTACTTGTTAATGGTTTTTCATTTTCCAGACAGCTCCATCGCCAGGTGGTTTGAACTTTGAGCTTCTTGGAGTTCTGATGAACATTTTCGCTTTCCTCAAGTTTATGATACTTGGAATTTCAAGAATTGGAGACTTATATAATTTGAGACCGGTCAACTCTGTGCAGAGTTCAGAGTACTAAGAGACGGGTGAGCATTCCACTCCAGATGACAGTTTTTGAGAGGAATTTCTGCAGTTTGGGTAAAGGTGCACCACTTTTATTGAATACTAGGTGGTGCCAGCGAGTTAATCTTTCTGGGATAAATCTCAAATAATGTAACACAGATTAAGGCTTTTAAAGTGCCTCCATCTTCCCTAAAATTTATTTAGAATAGCTCTACTGCCTTAAAATATGTTTCGCCTTTATACACTTCGTTCAGTTATGGAATATTCAGTATTAAGGGCTGAGGGAGCTAATTGGAATCAGACTCATTTTTTTTGCTTTCAGAGCCTTTACAGTCTAGAGAGGAAAAGAATGTTCTATAATGAACTCACTTATAATTCAATGCAGAAACAAGTGCTAAATAGAGAACGAGATGCGAAATGCAGTAGAAGCAATTCTCGTTATTCATTTACCAATTATGTATCCCATTATTCATATACCAATTATTTCTGTCTGCGCAGCATTGTGCTAGATGCTGGTGTATAAAGAGAAAGTAAAATCCCTACTCTGAAATAACGTACGGTCTAGTGATCGAGGGAGAACAGAGAAAGGCATTATGGAGAAGGTGAAACTTGAGCTTCACCCTGAAGAATGAGTGACCTGGGCTTGAGAGGTAGAAAAAAAAATGAGAAGGATGAAATGTTTGGCATGTTTTGAAACAAGTAGTTCAGTGTGCTTAGACTGTAGGAAATTAATCCTGAAAGACACTTTGCAGTTTAATCTTGGGTTTGCCCTGACTTTTACTAGAAAATTCAACAGATTTGAAATAAATTTTTTTTTTTTTTTAGGCAAGGCAACCCTTGGTTGACCTCACAGATTGCAAGGACCTTGTCAATCCCTTATTTTTTATTTTTTATGCCTACAGCACCTGGTCTTCCTAGGTGGTCTCCTATCCAAGTACTAACCAGGCCCAACCCTGCTTAGCTTCCGAGATCAGACGGGATCAGGCTTGTTCAGGGTAGCACAAAATAAAATTTAAATGTGTATTACCGGGAGAAATTATACATGAAGCATAGCTATAAGAAATTACACTTTCGGCTAACCTATTATACATGAAATATAACTATAATAAATTACACTTCTGGCTGTAATGTAACCTGTTTATATTTACATATGAATGATTATAGATGAGCTGAGCCAATTTTTAAAGAAAGATACAGTAGTAAGAATAGATTTTCACTAATTCTGTTTTGAATATAATGTATGGAACCCTCTTCATTGAAGTTCACATATCAAATCTTTCGATAATGTGTAGGAAAGTTTTAAATGCTTTAATAAGTTACTCTAGGAGTTAGGTTTTGATGACTGGTTATACCTAATATTAGACTTACATTTCTTTCAGGAAACACATTTTGTTTAATTTCTATAAATGGAAAAACTTAAATGCTGCAAATGTTAAGGAAATACATATAATATCAACAAAATCGGTAGCTTTTCTCTATATCAGCAATAATCAGAAATTGTAATAACAAAAACCCTATTTCCAATATTAAGAGAAAGTACAAAATATCTAAGAATAGCCAATGTTTAAGGCCTTTGTGAAAAATATTATACTCTTTAAAAATCATAAAGCCTAGATAAATGGAGAGATATTATTGCTTCATAGGAAGATCCAAATTTCAAAAATATGGATTTTCTCCATATTAGTCTCTACTGTAATCTCTGTCAACATTTCAATTGAATTTTAAAGGAAACGCGACAAACTGATTCTTAAATTCATCTAAAAGAGAAAATACACAAAAATAGCCAAGAATTACTGGGGGAAAAAACCCCGAAGTATTAAAAACAATTTGTTATCAGTATACACCAGCTCTAAAGCTATAATAATTAAAATATCAAGGTAATGCCTTAGGACCAGAATATTATCAATGAAAGAGACTTGAGTCTATTTGTATTGAGTACATTAAAGGTGGCATAAATAATTACTAAGTAAATAGTGTTGGGGCAATTGACGCTCCATTTGAAAGAAAATAGAAGACCCCTACATCATAGCATTAACAAAAAAGTTGCAGTTGGCTTAAAGTTTTAGAATACAAAATACCATATTTTTTAAAATCTTGAAATGGTTAAGGCCTGCCTTCATGGGGCACAAAACTAAGAAGACTTAAAGAAGAAGATAGCTAGATTTGGCCATTAAAAATAATAATTTATCATGACAAAAACATCATAAATAGAATTTAAAGTCAGGAGATGAGAGATAATGCTTATAGGATAATTACAAAGTCTTTATATCCATTTTATGTAAATCAGTAAGGAAAAGATAATTCAATAGAAAAACAAGCACATTTCCAAAGAAGAAATTCATATCAAAAGTTGTTCATGCCCACAGGGCATTAGGTAAATGCATATAGGACCAGCGGGAAGTCCTGGAGCGTACTTGGTAAGAATGAAAAAGAATGTTATAATGACTCTTTAAAGCAAAGTCACACCTGATCTGTTTCTTTATAAATTTGTATTTTCATGTATCAAAAATGTTTAAGAAAGACCAATAGTGAAGACTTCTAATTAATTTGTCATGTCAATTGAGAAGACTATCAGGCATTTTTGTGGGATGTTATTACTGTATGAGTTTAAACTTTTACGTGTAAATTGAAATTTTCTTTGCACAGTTATCTTTCCCACAGCTGTAGCTTAGAAAGAGTATAGCCTATTTTAAATTTTACCTGTATGTTGAATCATTTAAAATAACCAAATATATACTGTATGTGAGTTTATTTTTCTACTTAGAGATTAACATGGCTTCCAGAGGAAAGACAGAGACAAGCAAATTAAAGCAGAATTTAGAAGAACAGCTGGATAGACTAATGCAGCAATTACAAGATCTGGAGGAATGCAGGTAATACTATAATTGTGTGCTGCTATGCTATAAAACGGCTTTATTTGTGCAGCTGAATGACAAACTCCATGGGTGCAGGCTCATATGCGATTTCGGTTTCCACGGTAGAGTTTTTCACAGTACTTTGTCTATGGGAGAAACAAACTCGATGCAGGCTTTGGAATTGTAAAGGCTGGGATGTTAAAGTCTTTGATTACTGAGTGTGAGCTTGGGCAAAATACTTAACTCCCTTAAGTTTCCATTTCATCACATGTGAAGTGGAAATAAAATAACCTTGCCAGGTATCAAGCTCAGAAGGTACTACTTGAACTTCTGGTGTGTTTTCGGCCTTGACTACTCAAAGGACCAAGACTGTTCGTTGCCTTTTTTGACAATCTCAGTAAATACTACTAATGAAGGGGTGGCACAATGCTTGGCCCAGAGTAGGTGCTTGATGAATAGTAGCTGTTGTTATTTGTAATAAAAGCGTAATTGGTGGCTTGTTTGATGGGTAGATAAAAACAGCCTCTAACTCAGATGACAAGTACTGCATTGCTGTTGTATTTCAAGGTGCACAAAATTTTACTTACCATGAATGATGATGATAATAACAGCTATTTAGCAAGTGCCTATTATATGCCAAGCACTTTCCTTATTTCATTTAATGCTCATAACAACCCTACAGGGTAGGCACTATCATCTGCAGTTCGTAGATTAAAAAACTGAGGCTTGGCTATCTTAAGTATCTTGCCCAAGGTTAAACCTTTGATTCATGGGCAGCTTAAAAGGAAGTTGTATGTGGTTTGTTAAGTGTGCCTCGTTTTGGTAAAAGAAAAATGTTTATCAGAGTAACCACAATGCAGAAAAAAGCCCGTACTACTAATATCTGAAACATCCATCATTAGTAGTTTATTTCCTTTCTGCCTTTTCCTCCACAAGATGTTTTTTATAAGTATATGTATCATGTTTAGTATGCAAAAACTAAGATTGCTTTTTTTCACTTGGAACTCGATATTTTTCTTTATTATTTTCACTGTACTTCAGAGAGGAACTTGATACAGATGAATATGAAGAAACCAAAAAGGAAACTCTGGAGCAACTAAGTGAATTTAATGATTCACTGAAGAAAATTATGTCTGGAAATATGACTTTAGTAGATGAACTAAGTGGAATGCAGCTGGTAAGCATAATCGACTGATGTTAGTGACATGTTATTTTTTTTTACAATAGAAAATGTATACCTTTTTTGGGGTTTAACTTCTAGATGAGTATCTACTTGTAGACAAAATAGCATATTTATTTATGTATTTGATTCCAATGACTTGCACAGAAATAGCAAATGAAAACTAAAATTGTAACAGTGATGAACAAAGAAGGCCTATGAATAATTGAAGATCCATCAATCCATTATTGTAATATCCGATTCATTGGAATATTTTGGTTACTTTTTACCTTCTTGTATTTCTAGGCTATCCAGGCAGCTATCAGCCAGGCCTTTAAGACCCCAGAGGTCATCAGATTGTTTGCAAAGAAACAACCAGGTCAGCTTCGGACCAGGTTAGCAGAGGTAAAGTTCTTTAAATTGATCCAATTGCTATGTGTATCTTTTTTCTCAGCCCAAGAATTTGCTCGTTATGTTATGCAGAAGTTTAAAAATTGCTCAGTTGAGAATGTACAACACCAAGAGTAAAGCCTAATGTACTTTGAGCGAGTGACGTGTCAGTGTCAGTCCCTCAGTTGTAACAAACGTATGGCTCCGGCGGGGGTTGTTTATAATGGAGAGCTATGCGTGAGTCGGGGCAAGGGCTATGTGAGACAGCTCCGTGCGTTTTGCTGAATTTACTGTGAACCTAAAACCGCTGTAAGAAGTAGTCTGTTTATAAGAAATTGTTGACATTAGTCCTTTGAGCAATTATTGTTTAAACAGTTTACATTGCTACACTGACTGCTTCTACTTGGACCCCACCTTTAAGGTTTTACCATTTACTTTCAAAGCCCTGAATTGAAATCTCACCTAGAAGTCATTAACAGCATTGCTTTATGTATGTGTGGCCTTTCTCATCTAAGAATTTCAAACATCTTTGTAAATCTGATACTTCACAAAGTCTGTGTATAGACTTGAATGTGATTAAGGCATTAACAGTTATTTGCAACCACTGGTAATTCAGTAGCACAATGGTTATGAGCATGGACTTGGGTCAGACTGGCTGGATTTGTATCCCTGCTCCATATGGAGGTCTGTGACCTTGGGACGTTATTTTATTCAACCTCTTCATGCCTTAGTTTCTCCATCTGTAAAAGGAAATAATGATAGTTTCTACCTCTTATGATTGTTATGAGGATTCAATGAAGTAATATGTCTAGAGTATGTATTACATGTAACATGTGAAAAGGACGTAGAATAGTACCAATGCATAATATACACAGTCAGTGTTTCCGGTGATAAGATGATATTTAACCAAAGTTCCAGGAGAGCTGATCTCGGTTATCTCATTCAGGCCTGTAGACCACAGTTCAGTTTAATGAAATGAGTTCTTAGAGG